GTTATCGTAGTAATTAACTTTCTGAATCTAGTGGACGTGAAATCATTTCTGTGGTTTGAATTTGCACTTCCTTGACTATGGCTGAGGTTGAGCATCTTTTTTATATTTTTAGTACCGTTGGGGAGTTTCTTCTTTTGTAAATGGCCTAATCACATAATTTACCTATTTTCCCAGCAAGGTGTCAGTTTTAAAAATTGACTTACAGGAGTTCTTTACATATTCCAAATACTTATTCTAGATTGGGTACATACATAAAAAATATCTCCTCCCAGTCTGTGGCCCATCATTTAATTTTGTTTACAGTGTCTTTTATCACATAGTTGTCTTAAGTCTAATATTGGCAAAAAAAGTCAAACTTTTCCTTTATGATTAGTGCCTACCAACCAGGAGACCTTGGGCAACTTCTATTCTACATACTTAGTAAAAGCACTCTTGCTATAGTTAGGGGCAAATTCATTTTGCAATAATAACCTATTGATTCTGGGGGGGGGGTAAGTAGTTTTTAGTTACTTGATGTTTTACTATAATATATAAACCAGAACTCAAAACATTTTCTGTTTTCTCCTGAAGAACATCAGACTCATCAGAAACTTCATCAGGAAATGACAACCTTCTACTTTCTTTCAAGGCTAATCCTTTATTATGTTCTTACTCTGCACAAAGCTAATCTGATTACTCTCTTGGGTCACCTGAGAGCAATGACCCAGCTTTCAGATTAGCCAAAGCAAGAAAGAGGTGACTCTGCCATGGGAGGGAGAGGCCTCTGCCCCACGAGGTTAGGGCTGTCAGCCTCAGAAATCCAGCAAAAGAAGGTAGAATGATGTCAAAGAGAAATGACTTAGGCCAGTGGATTGTCAACAAATCAGGAAAGGGGAACAGGGAAAATTGTTTGTTTTTGTTTGTTTATTGTACTCCCCCTCAAATGTGGAAATATAAGACAGGTAAGACTCCACGGCAAAGTGGGTCCCAACCTGGTCCACCCTCCTTCACTATCCCCTCAGTTTTCCCAGCTCTGTTCCTTGCTAAACACTGAAAGAGCTTTTCGGCAAAGCTAGTTTCAATTTACATGCACAGAAATAAGTTTACATCAAAGTCTGCATCTCTTTATGTCTCTGTACCTGGAGTCCCATGGCCAGAGAACATGGGTCACCCTCAGGAGCCACTCTTGCCATCATCCATCTTCTCATCTACTCACCTCTTATCACTCTACCCTCCTCCTCTAACTCCCCTCCTCACTTCTCTCCTCCCTCTTAAGTCTTTCCCTTGCAACTCCCATTCCCGTGTGTGTGTGTGTGTGTGTGTGTGTGTGTGTGTTTCCAGGGAGTTTACAAAAACGCCCCAATACCTTCAAATATTTTGCTCTCTCTTAGCTCAACCAGTGACTCTCAACCCTGGTTACACATTAAAAGAACTTAAAAGAAAAAAGGCCTTAGCCTTGCCCCTGCAGAACCTGATTAAATTAGTCTAGTGTCTTGTTTGTTTCCATCTCTCTAGGTGACCTCAATGCGGGTCCAAGCTTGAGAGCCACGGCCATACTGAAACCCGGATCCTGCCCTGGCAAACTCTCTTCCTTTGCCTCTTTCTGGAGATCATGGTCTCCCACACCTGACTACCACCAGACAAGAAGGGGCATGAAGCTCAAGCTCTTCCAGACCACAGGTCTTCCATTCTCATAAAAATATATAAATATTTTATATATATATATATATATATCTTTCCCTAGGGGCACTTTATTAACACACCCATCTCCCCTCTACTCCCCACCACCACCCTTATCTGCCTGAATAACTTCTATATCCATCAAGATTCAAATAAAACATTATCTCCTCTGTAAAAACCTAAGAAAACTCTCCCTTTTTAGGAAAAAAAATAAGCAAATTATAAGAAAGTTATCCCATACATAGTATTTTTAAATATATTTCTGGTCATCTGCTAAGGATAGTATTATCTCCAACTCCACATCATTGGTGACCCAGATCGTCCCTGACAATCTCATTCTGTTCATGGTGGCTGTGGTAAGCAGAGCAATGGGTCTCAAAGGTGTCCACATCCCAAAACCCCCATAGCTGTATGTTGACTTACATGGCAAAATGGAATTTGCAGATGTGATTAAGTTAAGGATCTTGAGATGTGGAGATTGTCCTGGATCATACAGGTGGACCCAATGTAATCTCAGGGGTCCTTACAAGTGAAAGAGGTGGGCAGGAGACTTGGTGTCAGAGTGACGAAGCATGAGAGGGATTTGACCATCCATTACTAAAGCTGGAAAAGGCCAGAGTCTCTTGTAGAGCCTCCGGAAGGAATACAGCCCTGCTGCTGACACCTTGATTTTAGCCCAGTGAAACCCACTGAGACTTAGAAGATCACCAGGACTGTAAGATAATGCATGTGTTATTTTAAGCCACTTGTGGTGATTTATTACAGCAGCAATGGGAAACTATTACAGTGGCTGTGAAAATGTTCCCAGAGCACACTTGTATCTGTCAATACATGTTTTCAGCTTTGAGTTAATGTTTCCTCTGCTACAGTTATTGTAGGATAATCACTGAGAGACTTGATGATGACCTTGCGTCATAACAAGACCCTCAAAAATAAATGAAAGAATGAGCAGTTGAAACCCCAGTACTATACATACTCAATTATAAAAGACATACAACCCATGCCTCAAATAGATATAGTGTGATCAAGCACAAAATAAAAGCCCAGAATAATGCATAGTTCTTAACTTTGAACTCCAGCTACACTTGAGCAGCCTGGAGACCCTGGACTTCTGGTCCACTTGTCATCAGTCCTTTCACTCTCTTGTGTCTCTTGCTAAAGGACACCAGGTTTCATTCTAAGTACCTAGAGGGCGAGAGCAGAAGAAAAGGGGAGAGAGAGAAGAGGGCTTCACAATGTCCATTCTTGGGGCATGGTAGATGCAAAATAATTAGATTTGCTGCATCACATCACCCAGATTGATAATCTAACAGGCATCTCCTGAAGGTCATTATGCTAAAAGGCATCTGTCCTTTGTTCCAGGCTGTCTGGAGGAAGAGAAGGGGAGAAGGGAAAGAAAATCAGCACATCAGTGGTGAACTCATACATATTTTAGAATGACTTATTAAATTTTAAAAGGGAGTTCGGGTTAACCCTAAGGCAACCAGACATTTTAGAGAATCAGTATTCCTCATTTTCTGAACTTTCTGATCAATCAGTATTTTAGCATACAGCTTACTGTTTTAGATTTAAAGCCATTTTCTTTTAACTACTGCAAAATATTGCACCCTTCCCTCTCCCCACCCAAGCACACAACCAACTGAGAGAGTCATAGGGATCAGAAGGATGGATATCAAGATGTCAGCTTTATTACTGCAAATGTTTGGAGAATGGCCCTTAGCTGTGGAACAACAGCAAGCGTCCTAATGCGGCAACTCCGTATTCAGCAGAACGACCTAAGCACTTATCGTAAGCTGGCAAAAGTGACCCACAGGAGCAGAGCTGCCCACAGTCAGATCCCAACACGACTCCCCAATACCGGAGACAGGCATGCCTGTCATCTCCCGACCTCACCTATCCCAGGGAGGACTGTCCTGGGCGGAGGGAGGGGAGAGAGGCCAGGAGTGTGACTCTAGTAAAAGCTCTTCAACATGGGCACATGAGGAATAGGGAATGAGCGCTCTCCACCTGGTAGCCTCTTCTGAACGGTAGTAAATAAAGCTATGCTGTTATTAGCTAAGTAATTATATCTAGAGAAATCTGTAAGCAAAATTAGCAAGAGCTAACTAAAGATCCATCACTCCCAAGCGTGCGTGGGAGCAGTAGTCTCCATCGCAGCGTGAGGACGCGCCATCTGAGGTGTGCTCCTAGCCATCAAGTGCGGGCATCTGCTATTGGTACCCCTTGCCTTTAGAAATTGGAGCTTGTGCAAAGTGCTCACTATGACGACATTATTCTTACTACCTTATTTCAGATTTTCTTTCTGGAGTGGGAGATAAAGGGGAGGAATTCCATATAGGATTTGAGAAATTACACATAGCCCAGTCTCCCTTATCTGTGAAGCAGCTCATAGTGAAGGACCTTCCGTGGTAGCATTAATAGTTGTGGCAACTGTGAGTTACTGAAATGCTCCTGAGTTGTGATTTTTACAGTTGCTTCTGTTTCTTTTTTACCCTACCCAAGGATAAATTAAGAGGACAAACGGAGATTTTCTTAAGCATGAATATCAATATGACACGTGGGCAAGAATGACTCTACGCCCACTTCTGGTTAATCATGACAGAAGAACCACAGTGTCAAGTAAAAATCAGAACATGGAATGAAATTTCTGAATTTTTCAAGAATGATATTAATATCATTATAAAAAGTTAATAAACATAGTCCACATATCATAATTTAAACAATAACAGGGGAGTTTTTGCTTGATTCTGTAGTTGTCTATAGTTGCTTCAAAGGAGCTGGGATCCAGAAAAAAAATTAGAGTTCATTTTTAAAATCACATTTTTAAAATAAGTTTAAACAGCAGTTTAGCTATACATATTTATTTTTATCATAAATAATCAATTTCACATTTATTTAATACTTAATTTTCTTATAAAATGAATTTATGAATACTTTTATAAACAGAGATTCCCTCAGACAAATAGCACTTTTTCCTTTACTTCCCTACCACCAGCCTCCCAGTTGGATGAGGTTTGTTCAATTATGAAAATATTGTATATTATGCTTACAAATTGCTAAGAAATAAAGAAGGAAACATGAGTTCTCTTTTCTGCCATGAAGTCCACCTCTGTTCTACAGCACTCATCTCCTTAGGAAAGCTTTAGGTGAGCCAAGAACAAGATTTCCCCTTAACAACAAATCAGTGCCATTGTGAGGTGATTATGACATGGGAACAGTAACCTCCAATCAGAGAAGCCCCCAAAGTCTGATTGTGACATGCCAGCATAAGTATGAGAGCTCCCCTGATGCCCAGACCCTTTCCTCTCCACTTGAAACTGTTAAGGAAAACAACATCTCCAATGGCCAAATCCACTACCAAAAAGAATAAGTGCTCCAGAAACCGAAGAAGCTCCAGAAAGAAATCACATCCCTGTGCTGATTTTAACCGAAATTATTCACTCTACATCCGCAGGGTCCTGAAAGAAGTGGATCCCCAGAAAAGCATATCATCTGACACCTTGGACATCATGAACTCCGTGATCAACGACATCTTTGAGCGCATTTCTACACAAGCCTACAATCTGATGTGTTTCAGAAACCGCTGCACCCTCACCCATGAAGATATCCAGAAGGCCATGTATATGCTGTTTCCTGGGAAGCGTGCTAAGTACGCAGTGACTTTTGGAAGTGAAGCTGTCCAAAGATATGCCCACTCCAAAAACAACTCTCCAGCTTAATTAAATCTTGGGGAAAGTAAATCAAGCTCACTACCCCAAAGATCACTTCAATATTGAATTCACTCTTCTTTTTTTAGAATATAGCTGTAGTTCCTGATATTTTCCCGATTTCTCTTATCTCTAGAGAAGAATTACTCTCTTGCTATTTTACCTTTTAACAATTTGGCTGTTTAGGTTTTCCTGACACCGGCTCCCACCCAGGACTCTTGTTTTTCCTATGAATCTATAGATCTTGTTATACAACTTCAATGCTTGTTGTATGTTAAGGTATTGTTAATTAGGTACCGGATGATTTAATCCAGCTATTTTGACCCCAAATCACACTGACTTTGAATTTGTGAACATAAATGTTTTAATTAGAAGTGTACCAGCACCGGTAAATTTTCATCAAAAAAGCATTTTCTAGAGCAAACTACATTCAATTTAGTTCCTTAATGAAGTCTATAGAGCATGTCAACTATTTCCTTTTTGTTTTAATTCTTATTTTCTGAACTTCAACAAGCTCAGTTCATATCCATGTAAATGTTATCTTACATTTACATTTACCTTTACATTTAGGTTTGGTTCACTAGGATTTGTTGTTCTATGTTTACAACATATGAACACCCAGGAAACTAACACTCAATTTCTAAACTTAAATAACTTTACAATTGCAACTGAAGATGTTTTCCAATCCCATCTCCCTGTCCACTATCCTGAGTTTTCTTTCCCATTCCTTTGCTTTGCTTTGTACTTTTGCTACCTATATAACTGTCTCTACATAATAGGTTGAATTTTGTTTACTTTGTAAAATTGAAGCCATACTACATATGTTGTTCTGTGCCTTCCTTTTAATCAACATTGTTTCTAAGATTTATACCTGTTGATATATGTAGCTCTAGTTCATTCTTTTCACTCCGATGCTATGTTGTATTTTATAATATGAACATATCACAATTTATTTATCCATTCTCTGTTGATGTAGGTTTGGGTTGTCTTCAAAAAAAATTTTTTTTTTTGCTATTATGAACAATGCTGCTATAATAATGAGTTGTAACAAAAGCTAAGACTTATATAGCATTTGCTATGTGCTCAGCATTTTACAAAAAATGATTTATTTAATCCCTATAACAACCTTATAAAGGATACATAATTATCCCCCCCTGCAGATGAGGTAAATGGGGCACAGAGAAATAAGTAACTCGTCTGAGATCACACACCTGTGTAAGTAGCAGAGCTGGGATTTGAGCAGGTTAACACAGCCCACTGTGAACACACGCTACCTGCTGTGAACATTCTTACACATGTCTCTCTGGTACAAATATACAAAACTTTCTCTAGGGAAAATAGCTAATGGTAGGATTGCTTGGTCATCGATATGCCCATATTCAATTTTACTAGATATTACCTGACTGTCTTCCACAGCACTTGTAGCAATTTACATTTGTAGTAGATGAGTAATTTAGACTCTTCTGTTGACAAGGAACACATCACTTAAGTTTCCTCAGAAAGCAGGGCTTCTTGTATGTATATCCTGGGATTGGATCTGAGACTATTCTAGGTGTCTCTCTCTTAGGACCTACTCTCTATTTTCCTGGGGTTGCTCAGGTCTAAATCCCTCCTCCTAGAGCTCCAGGGAATCGACCTGACAAACAGACCTACTGAATTCCACTTAAATGAAAATCACAATAAAACATGGTTTTAAAAAGTTTTTAGGTGGGTATTTTTATACGCATGCACTTGCGTAATCAGACTTGAAACCATCCTATTTGAATTAGACCCAGGGATCAGCAAATTGCAGCCCTTGGGCCAAATCTGGAAGCAGCCCTTTTTTCGTATAGACCCACAAGCTAAGAAGTTTTCTTACAAGTGTATAGGGATATTTTAAAGGAAAATGAACACAAGAATATTCAACAAGCCTAATGTGGCCCACAAAGCCTAAAATGTTTACCACCTAGCTCTTTACAGGCAAGTTTCCAGACTCTGGTCTACACAGTGCTGTGAGATGGCAAGCTTTCTAAGGCTTTGCTTGGGACACCCCTATCTGGATAAAAAGTTCACAAACAGGAAGAGTTTATAGTTGGCTTTTCAAATCCCTGGAGTAAGGATTTGCGTACCATGTAGAAATGGTACTCAACAACTGGGGTGATAGACTAGCCATTCCCAGAAATGCTTTATTATAAATTGAGGTGTTAAGTCAGGTGAAGGGAACTCTAGAGGGTTCTTCATATATCATTCTCTCTACTTTTGTGTACATTTTGAAATATTTTAACAGAATTTCAGAATAAGATCAAGATTCTTGGAAATAAAAACTCTGGAATTGGTTTCAAGTCTGATTATATAAATGCATGTGTGGAAAAATGCCCACATTTATAAAAATTTAGCCATTTTTTTAGTATGGTAAAATATATATAACATAAAACTTACCATTTTGACCATTTTAGGTATACAATTCAGTCACATTAAGTACATTCACATTGCTATGCAACCATCACCACCATTCCATCTCTAGAACTTTATCATATTCCCAAACAAACTCCATAAACAGTAACTACACATTCCCCCCCCCCC